GAAACGAGCCCCTTGCAGTTCCCCCAAAAAACAGATCTCAGGAAGGGGAAAAGCAGGAGGAGGAGGAGGTGGAAAAGAAGTGTGGTCTGGCTGTTCTGGCGTCTAATCTCTGTGACACATCACAACCTCCAGCCTTCCTCCACCCCCTCTTCTGTATCCCCCCTTCTCCCACACACCCACACTCCATCCCTTGACTTATCCCTATGTCTACCCTGCCCACTTGTAGGAGTTCGCCGTCAGCCCCACACTCTGACAACAGCATGTGTCAGCCAGCCTCTGTGTACTACGCCAACACATGATTAAGACTTGCTAGGGAACATGGGAAATGCATCAGATCTACTATTGCACACAGGGCCACGGGATTAAAATATAAGACTTCTGTTCACTCCTGTTCTCTGAATGAGGACGACAAATGGGACAACCTCTTACTTTACCCGCCCAGGACAGTCCAAAAACAGTGATGCTTTAATTCTAAGAATCATACACAATAAAATACTTGAAGAAAGACTGCCTTTGTTGTTCAACTTATGATACTAAATATCACTCACAGCATTAATTTTGTGGAAAAAAACAACCACAAGAACCAGGATACTTAAGATGATCTCGCATCGAGGCATGAGTATTTTATCAGCAGTAGATTCTGGTCCTTAATATTTTAGATTTATAGAATATCATTGACAATATTGGCCAGTTCTTAGTTATATGACCTGATGGAAAAATAAAAAAAACTCTAGGAGGTAGATTATTTTCATTATGAGTTAATCTGCCTATTTGTTTCCTGCTGAATCATTTCATCAATAAAATATCAGAAAAAAAGAAAGAAAAATGAGCTGAGTAATTTCCCAGAGCTCAAGGTGACATCTTCAGAAGTATGTTTTATCCAACCAGCAGTCCCAGAATCTAAAGCTACTGAATTTATTATCAATTATGACAAAGAAAAGCATCTAATTCTCACATTTAAGAAGAAAGAAACCAATTAATGTTTGGCTTTTTTTGATTAAAAAAAAAATATTTAAAAAATTATACAATTAACAAAAGAACTGCCAATCTACTAATTGGTTAATTGACTAAATGCTGCAGCTCTATATTAATTTTTTACTAGTTCAATAAAGGCAAGGGCAAGTCTCTTTAATACAATGAGCCTAAAGAGAAACAGCAAACTGAATTCTCCATAGAAACCTACAACAATATGCCAATGGTTAGCCTTATGGTTGGCTGGGGTTGAGGATGGGGGTTGTCTATTATCAGCGGGCTGCTTGAATGAACTGAGCATTATGGGGAGAGACTGCAAATCAAGTACTAAGCCCTACCACAAAGCCGACCCCACTGTCTGTACAAAATCCACAGAGAGCCAACCTACAAGGAGAATGACAGGGAGGACAGAGTTTCCCACTGAGGCACAGAGAGGAAAATAGAGGCAGTAACCAAGGACGAGGAGGGGGGTGGTGGCAGTAGCTGTCTGTGAATCAAAAAAAGAGCGGGAAACACGGGAGTGTGAGAAAGAAGAGAGGGAGGAAATGAGGGGAGAGAAGGGCTGAAGAACACGAGTAACAAACAAACAGACGAGAGAAAAATGTCCTCAAAAATAGAGACATTATCCTCAATGAAACTAACACCATTCCTCTTAAATGTTAATGGACTGCAAAATTATACTAATCCCAAGCTGAGTCATCTCCAGCCAACTCAAATCCCACCTGGTTACAAAGTGAAGTGTGACAGGTGGAAGATGGAGGAGGCCCTCCAGCTGTACGTTATCTGCCATCTTATTGTCTTCCAGTAAGCTGCATCTCTCAATATGCACGATAATGTGTACAGTTGTTGCCACTAGCAAACAGGATTTCTTTTATAGGCAAAAACTAGACTTTTGTACAATTGATGGTCACAGGTTACCCAACCATACTGCTCAGTTAGCTGGGAGAGGAACACCTTGATAAGGGCAACGATATGAAAAGAATAAGTCGACATTTTAGTCACTGCATTCCGTACACAAATCAAAAATTACATGCAAGAGATTATTTCTCTCTCAAATTCTCCACAAGCCCTCCAGTAACGTTAACAGGGTTAATCCAATAATTGGACATTTCTGACCAGTTCTGCCGCTGCAACTTGGCCATAATGTAACATCACAGCAATACCAAGGCACAAGCTGTTTGTCGGCATGCCGCGGGGTTAGCACATCAAAATGGATTTGATTTGCTTAAGGCTCAAAAGCCTTGCACTCATTATATCCCCAGTGCTAAGCTCTCCAGAGCCGTGGTTTCCATGCCACATGTGCTGCAGCTTGAACTACTACAGGGGAGACGAGTGACTGTCAGTTTCTAAGTGGGCTGCGCGATCAATTTGCATTTTCTCACGCTATTCTCTGGGCCACTGACTGACGGAGTGATGGAGGGCCCCCTTTTAATCATTCACCCAGGCCATAGGACTCACTGGTTAGCCTATGGTGGTTAGTGATAGGTGATTGTGAACCAACACACATAGTATCAAAACCCTGCAGGGAAAAGCCACAATATAACACAGTAAAACATGTTTCTGTCTGACTGTAATAATGCACTAATGTCTTCCAAAGTGAAAGCGTCAACCACACTGCTTAATAGACTTAATGTAAGACTGGCTAACTGTGTACTCTACATGAAATTGCATCTAATGTGTTCTCATCCACTGATGTGGAATACTGTGCTGCAAAACAAACACCAACACAATCATGCCGAGTCCCCAGGTCTGCTTTTATGGCACTAATGCTAATTGAAGAGCTTTAAAGTTATAGTTGAAATAGACTAGAGTACTGTAATTATAAGCAGAAAATTTAAATATTTGGTTGAACCTACTCACATAGTATTGTTGAACAGTTGCAGCAAACAGTGCTGACGGGTCGGCTAACAAAGCTATTCCAAAATTTAGTCCAGGACATCCTTTTCATGCTTGGAGGAGCTAAGTCAAATCTGGTAGAGGTGAGGGGAAATCCAATACGTCCCTTGGCAATATTGTATCGATACACTGATACCGAGTATCTTTTTTTTAAACTATATAATTATTAATATTGCAAATACAAAGTAAACTTTTGGGAGCCTACTAAAATAATAAAATCAATTACTTTTTCAGCCCATTAGATACATTTTGCTGCAATAAATATGGTTGAAATGAGATGAATATACCGAAAACTTTATCTTATTATTAGATAAAACAGCTTTTGGTGCATTCATTTTCAGTTGAAAAAAGGTAATAAATCGCAATATATCGTAATTTTTTATAATATT